GTGTGTTCACATTTGTTACCTCAAATCAAAATTAATTTAGCTTTATAGTCCATTGAAGAATGTAATGCTTTGCATGTTTTCTTCATAAGATCTGCAATCAAATGACGCCTATAATTCCTAGTAGATTAGGGTTCAAGAAGGCAAATTTTTTTCACTTTCCATTTTCCTCTTCGAAAAGATTCACAATGCATGCGACCTTATAAGACCCGTGTGCGCGCGCGAGCGCACGTGTGTGTGTGATATGAAGTGTTCATTCCAGATGGTGCTTCAAAAGTCTTAATTAACAGCCACACACCGCAACAAACAGGCGCAAGAATAAGAACACATTGATGAAGTTTTGATACCTGAGAAAATTTATTTCCTGAAGAACAACTTATTCAGAAAAGAATAATTTGATTCTACCTCATAGGCAGGAACTGTCAAGTGATCTAGAAAGAACAACACTTGTAGTCCTCCGAGAAAGTGCTACCCAAAAATTTCTATTCTGCTTCCAAGTGGACAGTTTCAGACCTTAACTTTTCATCCCCTCTTCAATTTTATTTTTTCAAATCCCACTCATGTGCACAGTGGAATTTGAAATCAAAATTTATATAATTAATAGAAAATTTGAAATCCCAATTTAGGATATATTGTTGTATATCATGACTGGAATTGTGTTCAAATGAATTGTCACACTTCATTTTCTTGTATTTTTAGGTGCAAGATCTTGAGTATTTTACTTGAATACAGGTTGAGGAAATAAAAGAAAGAGAAAGGAAAAAAATTCTTCCCCATGCATGAACACAAATTTTTTTAAGACTAGTTAAATTATTTATTTATTCAATTATTTGTGTACTTAATTACTTACATAAACTACACTTATGCATTTGTAATTTATATTAATGAATAATTCAATACATATACATATTGTGTGTGTGTGTGTGGGTTGGTGGATATTTCCCTGAATTAAAAGCAGACTTTCATTGCTTTTTTTTTAATTATTTGTTTAGAAAATTTTACGGGCTTGGTGGAAAATAAAAATCTTATTCACCCACCATCGTAGATATTCTCAGAAGAAATAAAAATAAGAAACTGAGAAATGATAATGGAAGACATGAGAGTGATGTTAAAGGAATAATAAATCAGTATTCTTCAAAGAACAAAAGAAAGAAAAATGGTGCTGAAAACCACAAATTAAACAAAATTTGCCCATTATTCGATATTATTGGAAATTAATTAAAGCACATAAATAAAAGAACTCGGGGTGAGACATGCCAGATTCGTGCATGGAGCGGATGACCGATTATCCACGCCCACGTAGAGAATCAAGCACAACAAATGCAGAGAAAGAGAGTAAATAGAGAAGAAGTATATTCAACTCGAAATAGCTTTTTCCTTCCAAAAAAAAAAACTATATCTATTTATAGAGTAAGTAATGACATGAATTACAAAACCATCATGGTGAATCCTATCTATTGGATGATTATGATACGATATATCATATTAATTATAATATCTTATGTAAATCCTTAATTAATTCTTGATCCTGGTCAAAACTAATTTAACCAACTATATATATCAAATTAAATATACTAATTAATATAATATCCGAAAATCAAGAGCTAATACTGTAATCCAACAGATATTTAATGTAGCAAGGCCAAAGTGATCATCACTCTAACAAATATACGTCTATATATACGTGATAAAAATTCATACTTATTATTAGGCAGAGTAATTTAGGACCACAAATAATCATTAATAGATACTCATTGTTATGTGTCTTGCGTTAACCGATGATAAGGGGTAATTAACAATTTAGAAAATCTAAGTGGAATTAATTAGGTGATCTCAAACTTAATTTATAAACGCCTGCTTGTGTTTTATTTTTGTTCTCCCTATCTACTCCTGTCTCATCTTTATATCATTTACAATCGTCTTGGTCCTTTGTATCACATATACCTTGACTGTTATCAGGAATGAACCGAGGGAAGCTATAGTGCACTAGTCTATTAAAACATCAAAATGAAAATTTTTCTACGCACGAAGACAATACATTTTGGGACATGGATATTGGATAAATGAATTATTGGCAATTATCAGGCCATCAATCTCCAAGTGGGAGGGTTTCCTTTCATCATGTTATGATCTTTCCAGAAGATCGGGCCCACCTTGGGATCAGACATATTCTCCTAAAAATATCCACTACACAATCCTTTCAGAAGCCACACGCTCATTTTCTTTGTTAGAAAAAAAGGGGGGGGGGGATTGAATGAATTAAAATAAAAATGAAGTAGGCAAAAGAAAGAATGACAAGTAAGAACCTTATAAAAAAAATAAATATTAAATTAAAAATTTTAGTATTAAAATATAAAAAAACAGTATTAAATTTATGAACTTTAACACTAAAAAAATCTTAATTTGACACTAACTTTTTTTTTTTGAGGTCCTTATTTGTTATTCTTCCTAAACACAATTGCAAAAGAGCTCCCCCCACGTATACCATCCTTTAGTAAAAGTAATGAATCTTGCTCGCAAATTTTTTAAAATAGAGTTTGGTAACTCATTTACTGATAGTAAATATGATAAAATGTCATAAATGTGAGAATTATCATATTTTTAAAAAATTTATGAAACATGACTCACAATCTTATAAATTAAATTATATTTCTCTTATATAGATATGGTTCAATTATCACTTTCTATATTTTAATCATCTTATTTTTATTTTTATTTTTAAAATACATTGTATTCTCTCTCTCTTTAACAAGCAAACCACATTTTCAAAAAATATTTCAGAAGCCTCGTTCACATTTAATCACAGTGTTTTTTTTTTTAAACATTAATGTATTCTTTATGGTACATGACAAAAAAGAACCCGACAATGTTCATAATGAAGTGGAGCCTTTTATTTGTCGGAAATAAAGCATAAACTAAGGAATGGAATACTCTAGTACGCACACACGATTAATTAGCACAACATCACTTGCGTCATATCGCAATAAACTATTTTTTATTTTTCGAGAAAAAATGAAAGTCTGTCCTTGATGGAAGTAACACGTAAATTGGTTAAGGTATTGAAAGAAAATAGGATGGATACTAATTCCTTCATTAATAGATTCACATTACATGGCCTCCTTTTTTTAATTTTTTTTTGAAGTTATGCTGCCTTTTAATGAAATCAAAGTATGCATTACACGAAATATAATATATATGTATGCATGTGTGATCACCTTCAATTCCAAGAGTTATGTTTGATACTCTTGGCGTCCATGTTCATGTGTGGGTTGGACCTATACATTATATTTCCTCCGTCTCAAATTATAAAACACTTTTAAAAAATATTTATCGTTTAAAAATATAAGATATTTTTTTAATATTATCATTACTATATATTCTTTTTCTTCAATAATTTTTTATCAATGGAGTATTATATGAAGAATATTTTTTAAAGTTTATGTTTGTGTTTTGAAAGCTTATAAAGTGTATTTAATAAATTTTATTAATATATAAAATTTTATTTAAAAATATTTTATAATTAAAAATGGAACGGATACTTTAGAAGATTTGTGATCATTAATATGTGTGGTGAGAGTTGCAACTAGAGTTTGAAGCTGCGCTTCAAAATGAGGCACGTGGAATGTTTACGGAACACTAATTAGGCATATTCTTCCAACTTATTTATTAAAAGCAGTGATCATGATTAATCAACTTAATTACAGCTAATTAAAAGTCGTATTCTTTTGGTAAATGTGAATAATAATTGAGCTTTCTTTTCTCATCTTTCACAAAGTTTTGAAAATATCATCTTATGACGATCAAAGTCCCATTATATTCATAAACAAAATAATAGCCTCATTATAGGGCCCTTTCTATGAGAGAGGTTGACCTGATCGATCACCATCACCGTCTGATGAATAAGCAATGTGAATCATATTAAAAATTTTAAATTCAAATTAAAGAATTCTTGAAATTACTATTAGCATGTCTATCTGGAAACAATTATATTTTTAATTTAAAGGCCTTTTAACCTAAAATTTATAGAACATGAATTTTGAATCTCATTATATCTTAATGGTGCCTAATTAAAACTGAAAGGGTAATATAATAATAAATTATCAACACCAACAGCTTTTTTAATTTAGAAGAAGAATGAGAGACAATCGTAAATTTGATCACTTACGCGTATTGGAATTAGAATTAAAATTGAACACATGATAACAAATCGTATATAGATGCATATATATATATATATATATATATGTATATATATATATATGTTTGGATAAGTAATGATGGTTCGCAGGCTATTTCTAATCAAAACCTACCGAGACAAAAACACAGCACTAATTGACATTTGCTCACTATCTTTGTCTGCAATATAGTTGAATATTGGCACAATAATAAGGTTACTCTTCTTAACTTGCTTGTCCAACCCATATTTGACCTCACAATTTGTACAACATATGATTTAGCAATAAAAATCATAAAAAACATGAAGTTCAATCCGACCTACACGTTTCCTTGTCTTTGGGAAACTTTTAATATTAGATTCCCTCCTTCAAACGCAATACTTCATATCTCCTTCATCATTCTAGCACTTTCCACAACGAACTAGGTCATTCTGATTCTTGATCTGTGATAAAGAAAGTCCTTGGAAATAAAAACAGCTCTCTGTAACTTCATGTCTGTTCTAATTTTCTGCTGATGTACAAGTTTTATATTGAGCCACACCTTTAACCTGAAAGCAGTTATTTCATTCTCAATATCCTAATCGATATCTCAGTCATGAACTATGTATTCGTTCAGGGAAGCAGAAGAAGCTACTTTATTAACATATTAATTAAAGATCAGTAAAGCTAGAAAGACAAGAAGCAACACCAGTTAAATAAAGCAAAGATATAAGACTACACTAGCTTCTTTAAAACGACGTGACATGCACACATAGCTTCGCCAACTGTAAAAGGCTTTGTCATTTCAAAATCAGACTAAAGCACTTTCGTTGGCCCTTTTGTTTCAAACTAGACTGCAATTAGCTGCCTTTGAGCTTCAACCCTCATCTCTTCCTTCATCTTCCTTATGAATTCTTCAAACTTTCTGTTCAACTCATCTGCATTTGATAATTCCTCATTGTCTTCCACCACCGTAGTATTATCTGCTTCATCATCTCGCGTCCCCACCGTAACCTGATCATCAGTACAGCTACTTTCTTCCGTGGTCCGCACCTGTTCATCTTCTTTAGCAATGGAGGCTTCTTCAATGTTTTCTTCATCGGCTTCTGGGACTTCTTCTTCTTCCTCACAATGCTCTTGCTTCTTACCTTGTTCTTCAGCCATGAGAGAAGGAGCTTCTACAGAAACTGGTATGGCATTAGTAGTGTCTTGTAAAGTTGCAGCTTGGAGGGACTCATCTTTATCTGATGATGAGGACAGTGAGGTTTTGGCAAGAAAAGCGAGGATGGCATTGCAGAGGAGGAACATGTATTTTCGTTGGAGGGTGTGAGAGAAGATGGAGAAGAGGAAGGTGGAGAAGAAGGCATTGAGGGACTCATCATGAGGGAGGATGGAACAGCCAAAGGAGTACCAAAGTAAGAAAGAGAACGTAGAAACAGAGAAAACAAACTGCAAAATTCTCTTCGGAAAGTAGTGGTGTTTCTGAAACTTTACGCCACCTTGTCGCACCTTCCAATCATCACTTTGATCCATCTCAACTTGAAGGGATATCATGGTCTGTTCTCTGATTTCTGTGTGTTTGTGGGATTAGGGTTTTGGAAGGGGGGTGATGGCCTCGGAACAAAATGAGTCGCCCTTTAAATTTGTTTTTTGTTGTCATAAGTGAAACTCTAAACTCAAAGGCTCCCTTCTATTTATAGTAAGCCTCACAGGTTCACGTTATTACTTGGAGGAAAACAAATTATAGGCATTTTTTTCATATTTAATTTTTCCTTTACAAGTATTATTTATTGAGTTGGGTGCGTTATACTTGCATTACTTGCACGAATATGGATTGCATGTGTATGTTGCTGTCGATTAAAGTTTTCCCATGTTCATTTTTTTTGTTCATTCTAAATTATTTTATTTTTAAAATTATAACACTATATTCTTAAAGATAATTCATGTCAAAAGTTAACTGCTTTTTTTTTTTTTTTTGCAATAGACAATTCATATTTGTATCATCTCATTACAAGTCGGTACGTAAAGTAATCTAATTTATCAAAGTGCCCTATGTAGATTCTATGTTAATTTATGATTAAGGGATAACATTAAAGTATTATTATATCTATATATATACACATATTCCCTCTGTTAAAAAATATAAGACATTTTTAACTAAATTTCACTCACAATAAAATAGTTAATTATTTTCAAACTAACCCAATTTTTCTATATTTACCTCTATTAAATACTTTATAACAAATATAAAGTTATTTATTAATAAAAATATTTTTTAAAAAAATAATAATAATATTTTAAAAGAATAAAAATAATTTATATTTTTTAACATTTAATTTTTAAAAAAATATTTTATATTTTTAATGGAAGGAGTATACTGTACACTTTATAGAAATTTATGTATAAATAGTTAGTCATGGAACTACATTAAAGCTATAAACCGGAAGTGAACAGGTTATAGAAAAGATTTGTTTGCCAGGACGGTGATTCATAGCCGACAGCTATAAATTGTAGGCATAGGGATAAAGATCAATCAACAGGGTGAGCAAAATTGGGGGAATGCGATTGTGTCATGAAGCTTCTAGGTGTCACCATTCTTCACCACAAATCTCTTCTGGGACAATAATGACATCATCTTTTCATTCTCATCAACATCTGGAGGTCCATAATTTGTGTTCATTTGTGACACTCATGGGCCCTACTACAGCCCTTTCCACACACAATTCTTCAACCCCGCTATCACCCCACGATTTACGTTGCTTTGATGTAATTATCTGATTAAGTCAAATTCAAGTGTTATTAGGTTTAATTAACTAGGGTAACTCTTTTAAAAACGTTTTTATATTTACACATATTTAAACTTGCAGTATTGTATTTAAACGGTCATAATTTTTTCCACAAGAAGTCTAGAATAAACGTGGTGGGATAAATTTTACCTTGTTTCCAGCTAATTCACGACCATCATCCGTTATATTTATAATTTTTTTTTTAAATTTTCAGAACACTCTGAAATAACGTGAATTTTATTATTATCCAGTTCCACGACAATTAAATGATAATGTTGTATTATGATGCATTGACTAAGCCGATCCACGTACCCAGACAAACTCGAAATATTTGAATGAGATGATTTTTCTAGATGTATCAAATGAAACCGTTTCTATAAATACTTGAAGATGAGGGCATTTAGAAAATCAATAAAAAAAATTAAATTTGTCCTTAATAAGTTTTGCAATTAAATTGTCCTCCAATTGTTTGCAGCCATGAATGCACCACCGGCCTCCTGCTTCAATGTTCAATCACCTATATATGAATCATCACAAAGAAACATGGATAATTACAGTCCTAATTTCTTTTAATAATAACTTTTTTAAAACAAAAATTCTCAACTAAGTTTCGATTGACTTAACGTTTAAATAAATACATCAGGATCTATATCCATATGATAATTATTAATATTGTTACTTTAGGAAATTTCATAACTAGCATGAAAATATGAGAGAAACATGTGAGAGGATAACAAGGGGCCACATGTTGTAGTTTGTTGGTTAGGATGCGACTGTAAGTGCATGCACGAAAACTCAGTTTACGGTTGTACGAAATTTTCCTACCATGCGTGATCTTGTTTAATTTCCTTCTCCTCATCTTTTACTTTTGCAAGTAATTTTCATTCATAACATGAAAGCTCGGATTCTACAAGTATTGTGATTTGTGAGGCCTAGGAATTTTTATGGGAAATTTAAGAATATTGCAGATGCATTATTTACCAATAATGTGATTGCATTTGCTGTATACATAATACGCTCACCGCCACACATGGGCGCGCGCAATCGTACACAATAGTTTCATCGATATCTATCTCTTAAACTGGCCACAGACTGTGTTTCTCTTCAAATCTATACAACATTTCATTTTCGGATGTGCTTGTGACTTTGTGTGGGTGGATCATATCTACTCAATATGCCCGACCACGGAAAAACTAATGCAGAGCTATCTTGGTGGATTAATATAATTAATCTAAGGTCTGATAGAAAAAATAAAGATAAAAATAAAATAATCAAAATGTGAAAAGAGATAGTGAACTATATTCATAACAAAGAAGAATAATTTTAGTTTATGGGGTTGGGATAATTCCCAAATTTTTTATATATAGTGTTGAGTTTTGTCATAATTCTTTTTTTTTTTATCAATCTATTTCATTCCCATCGTTTCTAGCAACTAAAGGGATTTAAGGGTTTTGCTATTTTTTCACATGAATTATTTGAATGATATAGTTTAACATTATATTTTAATTCATATATTTGAAATATAAGATTGTAAGTATTAGATCATATACTAATTATGTTTTATTTTTGAACACACCTACAGAGTTCAGATGACCTAGGTTCATATATATATTAGAATGAAAGGATTAGGGTGGATCTACAAAAGGAAAAATTTCACTGAGAACCCTCTAACCATAATTACTGAAAAAGAAAACCTCAAAAATATTGACATATCACTGCATGACAAAGGCATTGATTTGAGATTAAATTTCATAGTTAAATGACAATATTGCCCCTCACTATAAGAACAAAGAAAAAAAGTTCTGTTAGCTCAACCACAATACACATCTATTGTAAATACATAGAAGATCAACGACAACCTCCATTTCAGATTTGAACCAACACCTCCATTTTAGACCTAAACCAATAGAAACTCCTTTAAGCAAGTGGGAAATTTTCACTCAAGAAAATTCTCATCTCACCCATTATCGTCCGCCTATTCGATAAGCATAGACGATACACATAAACTTTCCAAACTCCCAAGTCTAAAAATTAGCGACACCTCCATCATAGGAATTCCTATCCAAGAATCTTCCTTAACTGAGTCACCAGCCGGTCGAGTGCTACCTCTGACGTTGTAGCTTCTTTTGGTCGGCATTATTCTTCCCTCAATTAAACATTAAACCAATACTTGAAAAGCAGTCAATATTGTAACAAATAAGTGTGGTAAAAAAATTAACAACTGTCTTAATGTAATTAACTACACACGCTAAGACGATAAACAAATGATCCAAACATGAAATCATATCGAAATATCAGAGACATATCAGTATGTTTTACTTGAAATTCTTTCAAAAACATACCAGTATATCAGAGACATACTGGTATATTATAGATATACCAATATATTATAGACTTATCGGTATATTTTTCTTAGAATTCTTTCGTATTGTAACTCGTAATAAATAAGTTCAGTAAAGAAATGAACAATTGTTGTAAGGTAACTAACCACATGCATTAAGGCAACGAACAAGTCATCTAAATATGAAATCATTCAGTATATCAAAGACATATCGATATGTTTTACTTGAAATTCTTTCAAAAATATACATCGATATATTATAGACATCCCGATATAATGTAGACTTACCGGTATGTTTTCCTTAAAATTCTTTTATGTCATAGCTCGTAACAAACAAGTTCAGTAAGGAAATGAACAACTATTGTAAGGTAACTAATCACATGCATTAAGGTAACAAACAAGTTATTCAAACATAAAATCATACCGGTATATCAAAGACATATCGGTATATTATAAACACACCAGTATATCATAGACTTAACGGTATATTCTTGGAATTATTTCGTGTCATAACTCATAACAAACAAGTTCAGTAAGGAAATGAACAATTGTTATAAGGTAACTAACCACACGCATTAAGGCAACATGTATGATTTCTCTGTCATTTTTTTGCTCATTACCTATAATACTTCTTCCTTTAAATGATTATTGTGCAGGAACTCCGACGATGGAGATGTCGCTTTCAAATGCCCTAGTTCAAGTTCTAGAGATTCAGATCTTTATTCATATTTTTTGCATTTTAAGATTTGTAATTATGATAAATAATTATCGCTTGCAATTAAGTATGTATAATAGTTGATCCTTTAGTTTAAGTTCTGAAAGTCGACGGAGATCTCACTGATTTTCAAATGCTCTAGTTCACGTTTTGGAGAGATTCATCTCCGGCGATAGATGTGTTTGTCATCTTCAGTATCACTATGTGCGTCGTCTATTTTTTTGATCTACATTCATCTTTTTTCATTCAACGAGAGCCAATATTGACATTTAGCCATGAAATTTAATCTTAGTTCAGTGCCCTTGCTTGTAGTGATATATCAGTATTTTTTGGGTCTTTTTTTTTATTAAGTGCGATCAGAGGGTTCTCAGTGAAATTTTTCCTTTACAAAAAGAGGGGATGAGAGAGAATTCACTTGACTAATGTCATGACAAAAAAGCAAAAACCCTTGAAATATAATCTAATTTTTATTTTTATTTTCTTGAATCATAAAAATTACACATAATATGATAATATAGTCCCTTCTAAGGATGTGTTTGTATTTTAATTAGATATAATTGATTATAAAAAATTAATTAATATGATTGATTTGGAATATAATTAATTATGTTATGTGGTATATAAATAATTAATAAGATTGATTTTAATCAGAATTAAAAGTATAATTAAAAATAGAATTGAAAATAAAGTAAAATTATAGTTTTGTAAAATATATCCAAATGTCTATATTACATGTTAAAATCAATTACGAATCTAAAATTGTATTTAAAAAAAATTCAAACAACCATTATACATACCAAAATTAATTATGAACTCAAAATCATAATTCTCTTAAAAATATCTAAACACCCCATACATGCCAAAATTAATTATCAATCCAAAACCACAATTATCTCATAAACTATTACTGCCTACTTTTCAATTCAAATTTTTAATTATATAATTATAAAAATTTATCCAAAAATCATATAAATTATTTTACAAATAATATTTTTTGATTCATAATTAATTTTTACATAATAAGAGGTGTTTGAATATTTAAAAAAAAACTATGAGTTTGAATTTATAATTGATTTTAACATATATAATGGATGTTTGGATATTTTTAAGAAAACATAGTTTTGGACTCATAATTAATTCTAACATGTAGCATAAATGTTTGAATAAGTTTTGCCAAAATTTGATTTTGGTACAATTAATTAATTTTGAACGCAAATCCAAATGGGCATTAAAATGAAGAAAACAAGTTTTCATCCAAATGCTTTATAAAACGGATTTGAGGGATTTTTTATGTGCGCGGGCGAGGAAGGATCGAATTTGCAGCCTCTGATGTTGAGTAACAATCAAGGTATTGATTTGGCCCCCAAAAAGACAATCAAAGTATTGAGCAACTGGCCCAACTCTGTGGCCCAATCATATTGAATTCTTCACATTGTTATAAATACAATTAACTCCTACATTTAGCTAGAACCGAAAGAAACATAGGACCTATTTGATAACCTGCTATAAAAATAATTTTTTTGTTTTTTAAAATAAAAAAATTATTTAATAACGTATTTTTAAAAAGTATTTTAAAAAATAAAAAAAATTATTTTGAAGAATAAAAAAATAAAAACTATTTTAAATATTTTGAGATTATTGTTATAAAGAATAAGGGAGAATGAAAAAAAATACCTATTTTTATTATTTTTTATTCTCAAAACATATTTTACAAAACACTAATTTTCAAGATAATAAATAAAAATAATTTTAAATACATCCATATATATCAAGTTTTCTCATATATGCACAAAGATTTATATATTGACAAGTTCTTTTACATATGCACATATCATCAAAGGAAATATTCCTAATGATCTTGTAGCTTAATCGCATGCAACAAACTTACAATGTAATTGATTCGGGTTTTTGATTGGAGTTGCTAAAGCTTTAACAAGGAGTTTGATCAGCTCAGACTAGCTCCGTTGACCATCATCCCATCTTTAATCTCTTTTGAATTATGATTTTCTTAATTATAATCCTAAAACTTGTTGTTTTGCTTCGTAGAACTTTGTTTTGAATTTTCTTAAAAGAAATATATGACTTTCCTTCGCTGGGGAAAAACAACCCTTTATTAGAAGGCTATGATTTTCCGTCCTGCGCTACTTCAAGCACCTAGCTCGCCCTTTGCAATTAAAAACAAAAACCGCTTGTATTATATTTTTTTTGATTTTATTTATAACTCACTTACAGAAATTTTATTGGAGCAAAAAAAACCTAATTAAATTTATCTAAAAATTAAGCAAGTTTTCAACTTCACTTCTATTAAATATACCCACTCAAAATAAAAATACTCTAATATTTAATAAGCTTCACAACATTTAATAGGGGCAAAATGATAAAAATAAATAAAATAATCATTGAAATGTCCTAAAAATAAAACCAAAATAAATATACATTTTTTGCCTCATAAATAGGATGTCCTATAAATAAGATAAGAGGAGTAATATTATCAAGATTTTTTTAATAGTGTTTGACACGTTGATTTTTTTTATAGACACAAATATTTATATATTCTTTTTAATTTATACTCAAAATGTACAATATTAATTTTACACAATAGTACCGTAGTTTTTTAATTTTATAAAATACATTTTGGGTCCCTTAACCTTAACACCTCATATAAAAGTTAAAGATTAAAGATGTACTCCTTTCGTTTAAAAATGTAAAGTATTTTTAAAAAGTTAAATATTTAAAAATATGCGATATTTTTAATCTTTTGAAGTATAATTAATACTTTTTTCCAAAATTGCCTCTATTGATAGTGACTTTATATTTATTATATGGTGTTTAATAAGGATAAATATAAAAAGATAAGGTTAGTTTGAAAGTAATTATTTTATTGGGAATGAGATTTGATTAAAAATATCTTATATTTTCAAACAAAGGAAGTATTTTTTACTTTTATTTATATATACATACACACCCACATATATATAACATACCAAAGTTTTTATCATATATATTTTTCATCTGATCCAAAGTATAAAAAATAAATAATTGCCTCAGATAAAATGATAAAAATAAATAAAATAATCATTGAAAGGTCCTAAAAATAAAAATACATTTTTTGCCTCATAAATAGGATGTCCTATAAATAAGATAAGAGGAGTAATATTATCAAGATTTTTTAATAGTATTTGACACGTTGATTTTTTTTTTATAGACACAAATATTTATATATTCTTTTTAATTTATACTCAAAATGTACAATATTAATTTTACACAATAGTACCGTAGTTTTTTAATTTTACATACACACCCACATATATATAACATACCAAATTTTTTATCATATATATTTTTCATCTGATCCAAAGTACAAAAAATAAATAATTGCCTCACTTTTTTTTTCGCCATTGCCACCCAAGCTTGCCTAATTTTTTTTTTCACAAATGTTTTCAATTTTAAATTTGAAATTACACCTTATAAGTTATAACTAAGGATTAAGGTGTAATTTTATTCTTAAATTATTCTCGAAGGAGTAATGTTATCTCTAAACTATTCATCATAGCAATGTTGCCCCTAAACTAATCAAATTGAAGTAATGTTACACTTTAATTCATGAAAAGTTGGTTTCACTAACTACAGTAACAAACGTTTAAATAATAAGGCAATAATGCTTCGATTTGATTAATTTAAGGGCAACATTGCTCGTCAAACAATTTAAAAACAAAATTGTATCTAAAAATGATATAGTTAAAATTAATATAACTTAATTAATACATTATAAGTTCCTTGCTTCTTATAATTTGGACCAAAACAAGTTTTTTAAAAAATTCTCTTAGACACCTGTATTTCATATTATAAGATATTTTTTTAAAAAAATTATTATCACATTTCAACATGTAATCATCTTTAAAAATTTTAAAGAAAATTAATATATTTTTACCCAAAATATCATTAAAAGTATATTAAAATTGTCTAATAAAAGTAATCAAAAAAATATTAATAATTAATTATTGATACTAAAAAATTAAAGATGAATAATGGGCTTTTAACAGATTAAATTCAGTGAGAAATTTAAATCCATTCACTCAATCATTCCTAGCATAACAATCATTTGATTTAATAATATATTAAATCTTAAATTTTTAAAAAAGACAACATGTGTAAAGAATGTTTTAGACATGAGGATTGTTTCAAATTTTTAAGACAATCATTAAGTGATTGAATTTCAATTATTTACCGAATTCATAAAGAAAAATGATAATAAAAAACTATGACAAAATATTAATGACAATTGAAAATTTCAAAATACTGTAATGTCATAAAAGAACCATAATCTTTATTTACAATTAAAATATTTTTAATTATTAAAACAATCAATAGAATGTTACTCATAAATTTAAGAAAAATTGATTGCAAATTTAAGAAAAATAAAATTACAAATGCATAAATAATTTCATGTATATATACATCATCACTTAAAAATTTAAAGAAAAAAAATTATGAATTTTTGAAAAATTATTTGTGAATATATAAAAAATTAATTGTGAATGAATATTTAAAAGCATGAAAGGATCCTAAATGGCTAATTTACAATTTAAACAATTCATATTCATTCACTGACGTTTCATGCATTCTCAAGTAACATTACTTAAATCTGCACGTATGCCTTAACCTTTTCAAAAATTTACAAGTAATTATTTTTAAATTCATAGATAATAATATATAAATTCATAAAATTATCTATTAATTCACAATTGACTTTTTATTAAGAGAAATTTTTGAATAGACCTAACACACCATGTCTATCTATATTTCATTCAATAAATACATGACATTCAAACGTCATTAAATTTAAATTAATTTTAACATTAATGATAGTAAAGAAAGAAAATGTATAAAATTATATAAAATTTTATTATAAAAAATTAAAAATAATAATAATACATAAAATAATTTTATTTGATTGAGCAAATTCAATCTTATTAAATAGACCATACATGATGCAATGCATCCAATTCATTTAAAAATTTCTCTTCCATTAATTCACAAGACTTTAATTCACAATTAATTTTATTTAAATTTATCAGTCTCATTCTGTTAATTAATTTAATAATAATCTATTTTTAATTCAAATAAAAATTATAATCCTTTCGTCACATTTCAACAGTTCGAAGCCTTCAATTATCTTATTATCTTTATAAGATCTTAATCATCATTTACCTGAAACCACCTAAACTTGTGCTCTTTCTAATAATTAGACGTTATATTTTGTGGAAAAATGCAGTGAAGCAACTAATCGGGTTGTCTCAATGTCTCTTCGATCACGTAGTAACTTTTACATAGCTTCATTGCTCATCTTAAATTTGTGCACACAAACTTCAGCACAAAAACTAACAGATAAATCCCAAAATATTAAATTAATAACAGTTAAATTTTTAATAAACTTTTTTAAAAAATAAGTTTAAAATATGAATTCAGATAATTATAAATTCAGAAATTTTAACTAAAAATATATATTTAAGAATCAAGTAGGATGTTACTCAAGACCCAAAACCACCGCAACCCATGACAGTTGACCAAGATGCTCATCATTCTCCCAAACTTGAACCCAAACGCAGAATTCTTGATGATCAATAGGACCTAATACTCTTACACATGAAAAGTCGATTTCAAACACAGGCTTCAAGTGGAAGTAAATCAGAAACATTTGTCCACAGTGAAATTGGAGGAAAAACTTAAGTCAGAAATTAGTTGGCGTAAGCTTGAAGAGCCTCACCAGTTAACCCACAGATCCTGTATTCCTGCAAGATCTTGGCCCCCATACCCTCATAAAACTTTATGGCATTCACGTTCCAATCAAGCACGGCCCACTCGACTCTCCCGTATCCCATCTCCACCGCTTGCTTTGCCACCGCCGACAGCAGCATTTTCCCCAACCCTTTCCTTCTGTAACACTCTCTAACAAACAAATCCTTCACGTAGAACCCTGGCTTCCCCAGAAACGTCGCGTAATTCGGAAAGAACAGCACAAATCCAGCCACCACAACATCATCACCCTCCGATTTGAACGCCTCCCTATCCAGATCCTCGATTGGAACGTCCAGATTCACAATCCGAACAGTCGGTTTGTACAAGGGATTGAAGGTCGATTCCGGGAAGGGGTTAGCGGAAACTTCGAGGATGAAGATGGTGAAGGAGTGGAAGGGCGGAGAATTGAAGAGAGTGGAGGAGAGAGAGGACTCGGTAGCGGAGAATTGATGAGTGAGGTGCTCGAACACGGCTATCTGATGGACGAGCTTGTGGATGTGAGGAACGTCGGAAGGGGTCGCCAGACGTATGCGGCAGAACAAAGGGTGGACCGCCGGAGTCGACCCTGGCAATGCCTCCACCGGCGCTGGAGTTGGTGGCGGTGGCGGTGCGGCGGCAGCCATTGATAAAAAATATGTGCTGATGATGTTTGTGCCAATAGGGAGTCGCCGACCACCTCAGTAGTCACCGAAACTAAAGGAGATATAAATGGGCTTGGCTACTCGGGTAGCGTTCTCTTTGTTATATTTATAATCGAAAAGCACATGAGCTGGGGGAAAAAAAGCCCAACAACAAGTTTGAGTTGGACACTTTGTTGTATGAGGGAAGGAGAACTTGAATGGAACAAGTTCTTTTTTGTTAAATTCAATCCTAGTTGATGAGCATGTGTATCTTTTTAATTCGTGATTTATATCATGTAACCAACTTTTGTTATTATTAACTTCATTGATTTTTTTTTTAAAAAAATTAAGTCCGCTCATACTAATTAATAATACTTACATTAAAAAATATAAGATATTTTTAGTATTTTAAGATGTATTTAATTAATATTTTTTAAAAGTATTCTTAATAAATAAATCACTTTATATTTATTTTAAAGTAAAAAACTCTATTAAATAGAAATAAATATGAAAAGGTATTAGTTTGAAAATAACTAATTATTTTATTGAGAGATGAAATTTAATTAAAAATATTTTATATTTTTTAACGGAGCGAGTATTGGATTAGGAGCTAATATAAATTTAGAATGTTCCTCCAAAATTTTAAAAAAATATATGGTAGCAGTAAGTAGTACCATGATGATGACCATGATATGATTATAATGTGATATACTTTTAATTGGGTCTCAGATCATGGACATTAGCATTAATGGAGTATTCAACTATGATAGAATAAAATAAAGGCATCAATTTAGTGGGGCAACAAACAAATCTCATATTGAGACATAAGATTAAATATATAAGTCTTATCCTTCTAAAAATGTTTGATCATTTGATTCTCTTAAAGGCTGAATCTTGGTTGTTTTATAGCCCTTAGTTCACACAAAAAGTGCTAATTAGTTCCATTTAAAATATATTTTAAATTTCTTTTTACATGTAGGTATTTCAATTCATTTAGGTCTTGTTTGGCTGTTAAAAAAAAAAGGAATATATTAAAAAAATAAGTGTAAAAATAAGATGATTAAAATGTGAATAGCTGTAAATGAATTATATTCACAAAGGAAAAGGGAGAAAGATAATTTAATTCATGAGATTAAAAGTCATGATTCTTAAGATTTTTAGAGGATGTGATGTTTTTCAAATTTGTTATATATATAGTATTAAATTTTATTATGTTTATCATAATGAGAAAGAATAATTCAATTCATTCTTATTTTGATATTTTTAATCTATTCTATCCTCATATTTTTTAATGACCAAATAAGACCTTGGGCTTCGTCTAATAAAGCTACCTTTCAAAATCATTATATGGAGTGGCTCTTAGCATGTGTTTTGACAACTAAATCATAAAACAAATTATTTTCCTATTTCACGACTTTTAACATTCGGATGCCCTAAAAAGCTAACCTTAGCTCTTTAGCAGTCATTGATGCTCATAAAAAGGTGTTCAATCGAAATATATGGATTTTAAAACATAGTATATTATATTTTGGACTAATATTAATTGATAAAAATATCTTATATTTTAGATCGAATGAAATACTAATTAATATATCAAATTATAAGATAATTTTAGAAGAATTTTTATTCCAGAATACAAGATAATTTGAAAAAAAAAATAAAATTTCATTAATGATACCTTCCAACATTATCTTTCAAGGTGGAAAACAAATTGAAATGATTAAGTGTGTAATGAAATTTTTAAAAATTTATAGTTTTATAATAAAAAAAAGTCTATAAAATGTTATTATTGTGATTTATTGATATATGTAATTTTTTATTAAATTATCTTATAATGTGAGATAGAAAGAGTAAGACTTGGCTTTATAATGTTTTATATTATACATTGATTGATACACGTAGTCTAGAATGTAGCTTAGCTTTTGAATATTTTCAATTATGTTGAGTTAGTAAATACTTAGGAAAATAACAATTAAGAACTCTCTAAAGACATTAATCTTAATTAAAAATTATAAAATTTTAATTAAGGACAACTGGGATAAAAAATATAGTTTATTTTAAATCCCCTTAAAAAAATTGAAAATACTCGTGCCCTCAACCTTAGCCATTCTTGCTTTGTTTCATGACATCTCCTTTCTTCTTTCTCATTCTCCTTTGTTCTCATTCTTTATCGCTCCTCGGTGTGTCCTTATTAGCTCTAGTGTTGCATCAATTGTTGGTGACAAGTCAGGTCTAGTATTGGTCCCTATATTTCCAAACTCAAGTTAGTAAATTTCTAAGTCTTATTAGTGTATCCTAATTTGGACATAACTTTTTCTCAAACAATATATTTTCAAATAGGATTTCATATTTTCACAATATATGTTAGTAATTTTTCTTAAGTTGGCTTAGTGAATTTCTAAGTCTCATTAATGGATTTCAATTTGGACAAATTACTTTTTGTTAAATAATCGATTCCTAAGTGAGATTTCATATTTTTACAATTTACTTAACAATTGTCTAAAGTTTGGTTAGTGAATTCTCAAGTTCCGTTAGTGGATCCCAATTTGGACGTCGCTGTTTTGCTAAACAATCGATTCATAAATATGATTTCTTATTTTCACAATACACAATAGCAATTTTTCCAAATTTGGTTACTAAATTCTCAAATATAGTTAGTGAATCTCAATTCACGTTAGTAGATACCAATTTGGACAAGTTACTTTTTGCGAAACAATCAATTATCAAGTAGGGTTTTATGTTTTTACAATATATATTAGCAATTCAAGTTGAGTTAGTGAATTCTTAAGTGCCGTTAATAAATCTCAAGCATGAAATTTGACAAATCACGTTTGTATTCACATTCTTTATTGAAGTTAGTGACTTTCTAAGTGATGTTTGTATTTTCATAAGTAACCTTAGAATATTTTAAAAGTGAGTTTTATATTATGATAGTATTTACACTTCAAAGTCTGAAATACTGAGAAAAAATTTATTCCTAAGTAGGGTTCTATATTTTCACTAGTTATAATGACAATATCCTTATGCTACATTAGTGACAACATTTACACTTATACATATTTAAACCTAAAATAGATATTGGCATTATATTACACTAATTTTAATACATATACACCATTGTTGCATCTTTTTTTACTCACAAAACATCCCATCCACCTAAATAATACCTTTGCAGTTTACTTCTCAAAAAACAAGTGTAGCAAATAACAAGTATCAATCATAAGTTTTATTTAAATAATCATAACTTTTATTCTTAAAATCGTTAGAATACAACAAAAAATTATGAGTTTGCATTTCAAATTCCTTCTTAAATAATCACAACTTTAGGAATATCAAGTTGAGATGCGAATTTATAATTTTCTGTTACATTCTTGTAATTTTAAGAAGAAAAGTTGTTATTATTTAAACAAAACTTATGATTGGCACTTGTTATTTGCTACAATTCAGTAACATAACGAATCAAGGGCAATTTGATCATTTATATTAATTCACTAATGAAAAAAAAGTTTCTAGAAACTTTGCCATTTTAAAGGATCAAATTGTCATTTATATAATTTAGAGTAATTTTATTGTCATTTCCCCTTTCTAAATTGGCCACATTTATTTAAAAAGCTCCTAAATTTTTGGAGTTTCATAACAATCCAAAAGCACTGGTTTGATATTAAATTTTTCAAAAAAAATAATAAAATTATTTTTCATTTAAATTAATATTAAAACAGATCTACTTTACTTGTTGATTACCCTACTTCACTTATTCACTTATTTATAAAATGTTGTTAATTATTTTATTTCACTTGTTCATTTTTTTAAAATAAAATTAAGTGAAAGTCTGTCAATGAACAAGTAAAGTAGGGCAATGAATAATAGTCTATAAATAAATGAATAACATATAGTATAGGAATCAATAATTATCTTAAGATGATTTAAACACTTAAAATAAAAATAAGTTAAGTAGCAACATTCACTAGATAAATTAATAAGTGAAGTAGGATAATGAACAAAAGAAATAGGGGAGTTCTAATATTGTCATTTCTCTCAAAAATTTAATATCAAATTAGTATCTCTAGATTTTAGTATAATTTCATAAATTTAAAGGTTTTAAATTCAATAAGTGTAGTCAATGGGCCTTTATTAAAATTTTATCTTAAAATTAACCTCCCTAACTTTTTACTTTCTTACTATTGACATCTATACTATTATTTGTTAATTATTTTATTAATAATAGTTGCCATATCATATCAATAAAAGATAGGTAGTAATTTATGTGACATTCTATGTAAACTAACAATGATTTTATAAATTTTTTATCCATATTTTTTCTATGATTAGTGGTGCATATTTTTTTATTTTAAAGGATAAAATTTTATTTATATGATTGTTCCTTAAATTGTGTTTAAAATAATTAAAATATTTTTTCATGTCAACTGCCATGTGTGTCTCGTTAATTTGATATAGCAAACTCTAATTAATAAACTAATGAAATTATTAGCAATAGTAGGTTTTGGATTAAAAAAAATTAAAAATTAAAGAGGTTAATTTTAAATGTTTAAAAGTGAATCAAGTTATATACAAAAACAATTAAATTTATGAAATCTTTATATTTTTTTTTTAAAAAAGGAGTACGAATGATGAGCACCATGACATGATTATAACGTGATATATGTTCTAAATCGGATCAGGAGCAGTAGCATTAATGCAGTATTCGATTGGTTAAAAGAAAATAAAATAAACGCATCAATTTAATGGTGTGGCCAGCAAATAAGCTGGATCGTTTTTCAAAAGCTTTAATATTGTATTCTCTTAAAAGTCAATCTTGGCTATTTGTAGCCCTGGATTCACACAAATGGCATTCATTCCATCCAAAAAATATTTTAAATAATTTCTTTCTACATCTAGCCACCTCAATTCATTTAGTCTTATAAGCTACCTTTCAAAATCATTATATTGAACAACTCTTCGCAGCCAAGATCATGTGTTCTGAGAATTACATCTTACAACAAATTATGTTCCTATTCCAAAACTTCAACATTTGGATGCTCCAAAAAGCCGGCCTTTGCTCTTTTTTAGGCATTGATGCTCATAAAAAGGTATTAAGTCGAAAACTCGAAATATATGTATTTTAAAATTTCCTTTCACATCTTCATCAATCTGCGCCCTATACATAGAGTTACTATTCATATTCAGAATCATGTTTTTGATTTGTGAATATTATAAAGAAAATAAAAAATAATCAATAGTGTAGTGGCTTTTAGTTTTTTTTTTTTGCACCAAACAATAGTGGCTTTTAGTAAGAAAGGTAAGAACCCTCCTAACACTTTCCCACTTATAGTTTTCATTTCTTTAATTGTTTATTGCCACATACACCACTTTTCTTTTCTTTATTTGTCTTCAACTCCATTTTCTTTAATTTACTAATATATTTAGTGTATAGCATTCTTTCAGCAGCAGCGAACCACCTGTTTTACATTAAGGCCATGTGTGTTTGAGGGAAATTGCTTTGTGAAAGTTGGATCTTATTTACAAAGTAATTTAATTATCATTGTGTTTAACCTTTTTAATTAAATGTGTAAAAATTATTTGCTAGAAATATGGGGTAAGATTAGAAACTTGTTTAACTTTTAAATGAAATTAACGAGATTTAAGTTTTTTTTTTTTAATTTTCAGTGAAAAGACTGAAAGTAACTTGTAATTAGGAAATACCTTTCCTCCTCTTTCTATTCGTCCCTTACCTGCCCTAATTCCGTGATATGGAATACGTGTCTTATTTATATACTATGTGCTCTGAATTCCATTATTTTTTTTAGCAAGAAAGGAAAATCACACAGCACAAGATGAGGATAAAACGATCATACACTCACATTGTAAACAGAGGATATGCCTAACATACATAATTTTGACTCCAACAGACCACGTTGAAATTGGCTAAGCAGTTCATGTATACCTAGAAAGTCAACTGACAAAAGAGTTGCAGCAAATTAATATCCATAGTCGTAGCTAAAGTCAGTGACACCAACCATGGCAGAAAGAACTTGAGAAACGACATAAATGCTACCCCCAAAAATAGCAAGAATGAGAATTGCAGAAATGGGGTTCTTCAACAACTCCACTATTGGCTGGAAAATGGTATAAATAGCGCCTGTACTGACCGTAAGAGCGTAGATAGCATATCTCCTAACGTTTTCCCAGAATTCCTCCATTAATGGACCTTCAGGACCCAAAGCCAAGGCCTTTTCGCCGTCAATTCCAATCAGAGCCAGAAAAATCCCCAGAGAAACAGCCCCCGTTATGAGAAATCTGGAATCTGGATACCCGTTTTCAGGAACTTGAAGCTTCATCGATGAGTTTAGGGTTTTAGGTGAAAGATCCAGAGCTGAATGCTTCTTGACTGTAAGTGAAGCTTTTGATGCCGATTTGCGGTGGGAAAAGTCCCCATGTGAAGCTATTTTGATGGGTTTGAGGAAAAATGGAGGCTTTGAAGGAGAAGAAGAGGGAGTGGAGGTTCTGAGAATGTAGAGTTGTGATCTGAGGCCGAAGATCTTCATCTTCCAGCTGTTCTCTTCGTGCTCTGTTCCTACAGTGAGGATTTTGCAGTACCCATCGTGACGGGATGGCTTGGGCAATGGCCAAGTGGCTATGCCGATCTATCTTATCTTTAACTCGTTGGCGGTTTGCATCCAACTTCATCTTTAATGGCCCAAAAAAAAAAAAAAAGATCTTTCTAACATATTTCGGTGCATAAATAAAATGATTATACTGATTATAATTTAAATAATAATAATAATAAAATTTTTTTTTTAAATTATATAAATAATAATTTAGTCTATTCAAATATTATAATTTTAATGAAATTTTTAATAATTTTTTTCATTAAAAAAATAATATAAATGATTAAATTATCCTTAGTTCAAATAATAATTGCTATTTATAAATTTTATTTTAAGATTCACAACTTTTTTATTAAAATCATAAAAATTTAATAATAATTTATAAGTTCACATTTGAAGTCTTAATATTTAAATGTTGTGAATATTAATTTTTATTTATAAGTTTTATTTTAATATTCATAACTTTTTTTAAATTAAACAAATTCAACAATTCGTAAATTTACATTTAAAATTATAATATTTTTTAAGTGTTGTAAATATAAATCACCATTTATAATTTTTCTTATTAAAATTGAAAAAATGTAACAGCAATTTGCAAGTGCACATTTGAATTTCTAAATTAAGGGTAATTTGATCATTTGTATTAATTTCTTAATGATAGAAAATTTTTTAAGGATTTCAAGAAAATTATGGCATTTCAATGAATTAAAATTTCATTTACATAATTTTAAAAAATTTTATTGTCATTTCCCCTATAATTTATGAACAGATTAATTATTCTAATTTAACTTTTTTCAAAAAGAATGAGAATTTAAATCTTATAAAAAAGTCATATTGCGAATACTACTTTTAATTCAATTTAGTAATACTCTCTCTTATCCAAAGTATAAAATACTTTTAACAATCTTTATAAGAAATAATAAGAGTAGTTAAAAATAATTTATATAATTGAAATGGGTAAAAAAGTCATCATTATTTGTTAAGATTACCCTCCAATTAAAATTAATCTATATTAATTACCTTTAATTTCTTTCTTTTTTATTACTTATAGGTATCCTTCTATTGGAGGTAATCTAATTTGAAATATGATCAAACATTAAATGTTGGTACCTCTTTTAATGAGGTTTTGAAAATTAATTTGTCATATTATGATGTACTAGCTTCTTCTGCAGCTTAATTTCTTTCTTACATGGTCTCTCCCTACATAATTAATAGAGGTATTTGTAGAAAAAAGAAATTAATGTTATTGACTTTTTTTTTCAAAGTATTCTATATTTTAGACCAACATTAATCAACAGAAATTGTCTTATATTTTATACTAAAAATTGTAGTTTTGCAAATATATTTTGGGAGGAAATGCATAATTGCATTTAGGGAGAAAGGAAGAATTTTAAGTTCACTATCATCAATGAAGAATTACTTGTTAATATGTGAATCTAAAGTCATAAATTTGTAAGCATCTAGCTATAACAATCTAAACAACTTCTTGTCACAACGAATCTTACTTTTAAATATATAAAGTCTTAAGTTCTAAAATTTAACTTGTGAATAAATAAACATATACTTGTTAATATTCAAACTTTAAATTATAAATTTATGAAGTTTTCCAAAACAAACTTGTTAACTCTAAATAAAAATTTTACTACTAATGGATAATTACCTATTAATATGTGAATATAAAATTGTAAATTTGAGAATATTCAGTTGTAAAAATATGAACTTGTTATTACAAATATTAGTTTTGAATATATGAAGTTATAAATTTTAAATTTTGACTTGTGAATAGATAAACTTATACTTTTAAATATTCAAACTTTAAATTATAAATATGTAAACTTAGCCAATGCAAACTTGTTAACTCTCAATAAAAATTTTACTATCAATGAACAATTACTTATTAATATAGGATCATAAAGTTGTGAATGTATAAATATCTTCTTGTAAAATTTTGAACTTTTACTCTGTCTTTTTTCACTAAGGACAATTGCATCTTTTTTCCTAAAACATATCTGCAAAAACAACTCTCAAGCTTGCAAAATAATTTCAGGATACATTCAGTCATAAGTACAAATTTTTCTCCTTGGGAGACTATAGGTGCGATTTTCCCCTACTATCAGAGACAGGTTGACTTCAGTACAAGAGGTAAAAGAACATCACTTTAATACAACAATAAACTTTTTATGAATAAATTGACATTTGCACTAAGTTATTAAATACACAAAGTCGGCTTCGAACAGAAGCCGCATATCAATCTTTTTGTCAAAGAAAGTAGTTGTTATTAGTTGACCCAATTTTCTTAACTAGTTCCCATAAAACTAAACTTCTGCTGAAATACTTGAAACCAATTCTCTCAAGAATATGAGCAACCAGATTGGGCGGGAATAATAGGAGGGTAGAACACAAAAGACAAGCGTGTATATCAACATTAGAATGAATCAGTTTCACACACCACGGAACTTGATGCCACCGTTTGATTAAATATATTGATACAAAGATATCCCAGTATCTCAACGTTGTTTTTCTGGAGATACAAGAGAGTAATGCGAGTACACATTAGAAGAATCAGGAGATATAAATCAGTCAGGGCATAGCAATCCCCTTCTTCACGAGAATATCGTACACGCAATCAATCTTGCTGCTATCCATGTTGAACAAGTGGTGGGCATCAGATTTGGCTGTGACATTGCCACTCAGTATTTCTACCGACAGAATCTCTTGCATCTTCAGGAAGATGGCTGGAGGCAACCTATGTTCACAGCATAAACGTTTTTCCTGCCCAGAAAGTTGCACAACGTAATTTCAGGGAGGGAAAGAGATGAAGAAACTATGGCATTTAATGATACATGACATGTCCAAACATGAAACAAAATGGTCAATCAGAGAGTTTACATAGTTTACGTTGTTTCATTATCACTTAACCATCCAGTGACATGATGTGAATACTAAAATGATGAAAAGATTTGCTACTTGAAGTATGATTCACCTGTATCTAGAACAATTTCATACTCTTTCTATGGCTACTATTGAATTAAGCGGCTATTTTGAAATTGAAATTATGCATTATCTTGACAATGGCCTCCAGATACGTTAACAATGTTCCAGACACCAATGAAACTCAATATCTAACATTAAAATTACATATCATTTCAACACTAACAAGATTCTTTGCGTTGTTAAAATAAGGTAATTGAACAAAAAGACAAACTAATTTTGGGCTAAATCTAAACCATATACAAGTGAACTGCAATCTACCCACAAAATAAGATAGCCTGTTAGAATTATAATTTCCGAGCCATCAACAAAAATTCTTTTTTTGAGCAAACCATCAACAAAATTCTACTTTTAAGAAGATAGGACAGATTTTAGCTTGACATCCAGTTTTACTCACTGATACCGAAAACCAAATTTCCTCACAGAAAAAGGACCACGGGAGCATAATGATTCTCATTACGTCTGCCAAGCAGATAGGACTATGACTTGTCAAAACAAACTAAATTTGAGGTTGCTTGTGTTACCTTAAGAGGAATTATAACTAACAAGTTTGCATTAGCAAAAAATGGGGAGACTGCAAGCTTACAGGTACAGAAAGTAGATCAGCCCCATAGTATCCTGTCACATCCATTTCATTGACAGAGCTTGAACCAGCGGGCCCTGCTGGTCTTGCACTTGAATCCTTACCAGCAGAGTCTGGAGACATGAATGCATTTGGAACCCCATGATTGTTTGGACCAGCTTGAGCTCTTTCTTTTGACCCATGAGAACCTTCCTCTGCCTCTCTTCTTCTCTTCTGTTCAAGATATCTATCTGCTTCGGCAGATGTGCGGCAACCAGCAGCCCGGGCTTCCTGCAATACCATGTATTACAAACGTATGAGTAAATGACATTTGTTTGATTTGCTCATGCACAACTTGCTAAATCCTTTGGGGCTATAGTGTACAGCCAGCTAGTGTACATCACGAAGTCAATAGAAACCCATTAAAATGGGTGGATAAGTATATGCCATCATCTGAACACACTTCGGTGAATTTTCATAAATGAACTTTAGAACCAAGATTTGACATATTAAACAGTCAATCCCTGAAATTTAAGCAGGATATTCTTGTCAAGACACCACAAGAATCAGGATTCCCAGAATAGGCCTTATTCCTAAAAGTGATGGTGAGACAAAGTTGCCCACTCAGCAGTACCTACCTGATTGATTTCACAAAAGGATCAAACTCAACAATACATATGTCTAAACACCAAGATTTCTTTAACATTCCAAAATAGGAGGGGGAAAAAGTGTTAAATAATTAGCCAATGCTATCAAATTTATCAAACCTTAAGCTCTTCAATTCTTCTACGGGTTCTGTGCTCAGAGATTACTACCCTAAGCAATTCCTCATGATCTTCCTTGGTATGAAAGCGCATGAATACATCATATTTTCGGCATATTGTCCTCTCTTCAGGTGTTAAATCCTTCTCAAAAGGACTTGGGTATAACAAATTTCTTTCAAGTATGAAATCCTTTCTACGCTTTCTTTCATCAAGCCTGCAAACAATTCCAGAGATGGGAGTGGTAGTGAGCAACTATCTCAGTCTCACTGTATTCTGTTATCAACTTATCATTTGCGTTGCCAATGGTTGATTGTATATCACTCAAGAAGAGAACTCTGGAAAATCAGGATGCGTATTTACCTTTTCGAATATATACGCAGAATGCGCAGCTTTAGTTCCCGATCATCATCTGGTTCACCGTCCTTAAATTCCATTTCAGCAAGTAATTGTTCAGCATCATTATCATATTCTGGATCAAATTCCCGTCTTTTGGGGTTATAACCACTTAACTCTACTAAAGAAGGACCTTTATTTCCAGAGGAACTTGGTTTTTTCCTCCAGAATATTTTTCTAGTTGAGGATCTGCAAGAGACAGAGAACATGAAAGTTGAGAAGCAAGTTCATCAAAATGTATCGGTTAGTGTGAAACATAGAACAATCATGCTTATAGAAATAGTAAGACAAGTAGAAGTAACATCAGTTCAATGCAAAAAGCTGCTGCCCCTTTAATTCATTTAGGCCACAACAGTGAAAGGTTTGTGTGCATGAAAGAAGACATTTCCTTAACTTATTTTCTAAAGAAGCACACCACAAAAGAATGAACTGGTCAACATAACGAGGGGCTCAGGACATACATACCTTCCATTTTAATAACTCCAGGACTGTCTTTTCCACGTCCCACATTAGATGCCCTCTGATTAGCAGCTGGCGCAGTATGTGAGCCACTAGAGGGTCCAGACTCCGATTCTGAAAAGCAAGGGAAACATAAAGATGGAAAAGAGAATCAACATGAGCACATTTGGTGTGTCAATTAGTTGGTACAACAAAACTATTGTGCTTTACCTGAATTTAAGTTGGACTGTAAACGGCTAGAAGTACCAGCTTTATGAGAATCTTCAACCCTGAATCAATGAGTAGATATCAGAGAATGAGGTATGAAAGATGGCACAAGATAATGCATATAAAAATAACAATCTTACTTGACTCTAGCTGGAGAAAATTGAGATTCTTCCTTTATACCAAGATCCCCCATGGGAATCCCTGTGCCAATTGCAAGTGACAAATGAAGGGGGAAAAGGGTGAATGAAATGCAGCTAAAAATCATACAAAGCTAAAAAAAGCCACATATTAATCATCCAATGCTTATTGCAACCAGAAATTTTATCTTTATTGAACAAACGAATATACAAAGAAATTATAATAAATAAAAAAAACCACTTGAGACAGGCAGTAGTAGCCAAGTCTGCAGCATGATCATCTATTAACAGTGCATTATGAATATTCTACCACCAAAAAAAAAAAAAAACAGTGCAGTATGAATATTATAAAGCTAGAACCTCAGTTCACTAACAACAACAAATGAGGTCATATTGAAAAGACCTTTCTTGTCATCGCCTTGACCTTTAGCCATAGCAAGTAGCTCCTTTCTGTTTTTTCCAACAACATGAGACATGTCCTAGAAAATTATTTTAAAAGAGATTAAAATTTTCCTTAACTAGATAAGTACAACGACAACAAACATACAGCTTTTATTTGACATTTATCATACCGGAAGAGGAAAGGTTTTGGAGTTCAAGTAAACATTCCAATAGTGTTCTATGCATGCTTCTTTATTCTTAGTCCCAACATGCTCAGCAACGTCTGCCCAGTTCCCCCAGCCATACATTTCAATTCCCTAAAACCAAGAAATTAAGGCAAACAAAGATTAGATAGAAGTAAGCAATTTCTTCTTTGAACAGAAAATGCTACTCATAATTCATAAGCAATTAACCACTAGTAATCAACAATCCTAAGAAGTAGGGAATGAATTTAAAGAAGACACCTCCAGAAGCAGAATTTCATCATCTGCATTCCAATCTGCGCAAATGAGAGGGAAGGATAAATTGTCCTGTCAAAAAGGAAGTGCATTAAAAAAAAAGAAGAAACCACCGCAAAAACTGCATAGCATATGAATAAAACAAGCATAATAAGCATGTCAACCCAAACAAGCAGCATGAGATTTATCTAGCTTTCATTTAGGGAAAATTCAGTTAAACATTACATTACATCTATAAAAGGTTGGTCACGTACTCCACAAGAGGTAAAAAAGTTTGACGCATGAAAACTCCGTTTAACATTTCAGTGATTAAACCAGTAATTGCCCAGAAACTCATCAATGTCGAGAACAGATTTTCAAATGTTAGATCTTTTTCAACATGATATTGAAGGAAGGCAATGGAGTTAAGCTGCTGCTAACCATAACCCTGTAAGGGTCATTGCTTTTCTCATTTCACTGACTAAACTAGTAATTGCCTAGAAACTCAACAATGACGATAACAGATTTTCAAATGTAGAGCTTTTTTCAACATGATATTGAAGGAGGGCAATGGGGTTAAGCCATTACTAACCATAACCCTGTAATGGTGATTGCTTTTATGAGGTGTCACCTCAGCTCCCACGGAAAAACACTCTATACATAGGTCAAAATCAGGGCACATGGCACACTTAATACGGATTTTTCCTGTAAGATCTTTGTTACAGTAATTGCAATGGTACCAAGCCTTTTTTCCTTCACTTGTTCCTTGACCTGGTTCAAAGGTAAAGTCAATTAAAAAAAAATCATGGCCACTCTCGAATAAACAATCAGTAAATATGAAGGGCACAAATAAAGCTCAAAATATTTCTATTTAGCAGTCAAATTCTAGACTGAACAATACAAGAGGCAACATTTTTTTTTTTTCAGGAAAATCCCAATACATTCCAAGAGGCAGTAGAATACAATCCCATGCATCTAGAACTCTCTTGTTGTTCCATGATCATTAACATTTTTTCAGGCAACATTTCCATGATGTATATGGGAGTAGTTGTTTAAGAACTTCCTCTTTGGTAGACTCGAAACATAAGTTAAATGGCCAATCATTGCAACTCAGAAGTTTGGAGTTCCAGCATGCTTGAGTTACCAAGAGTTTTTTTAAATCTTATTTGGGAACCAAAGCAATTTTATTCAAGCTATCAATAGTTACTCTATAAAATTTGGGACTAACGATAAAAGAGGCCCGACCATTTAAGAACCACATTCGGAGTTTGCTTAGTTAAGCAGGAAAAAAGAAAAAAAGAAAAAAGAAAAAACCTGCAGCTCCAGGTTCTGAAATATCTCCACTAGCAGCATTCTTTTTTCTCCTTGACCTACAAAGTATAAAACGGGTATCATATGAAAACATACAAACGTCCCAAAGGTAACTATAGGACATGAATGATGCTAATGCTCCAAGTAATAGTCATTCGAAAATCACAAAACATTATCGTACTTACCATTTACAGCACCAATACTATTCACAATGCAAATAACTATCGCAAACTGATTTCAGCAAAATCAATGTGACTTGCAGTGTTTAAAAAAGAGTGATATATCAAGCAGTAGTGGTAACTGAATCACAGAAAGAAAAGATCAAACCTTTGATTGGGGTCCTCATCAGCGTGGAAATTCCCACGAGAACGCCCCATTCGTTTTTTGCGATTAACAGATTCCCCAGCGCCTTCGTAAAATTTGTTTGTTTGTTTGTCGAAGAGTCTATAATTTGTTGAGGGTAAAAAGACCCAACAATTCTCAGATCCCAGACGAATGAATAAATTGAGAAGTATAGTGTTGAACTGGATATTTCCAGGTAAACTCAGAGTTTACAAAACTGGAAGCTTTTTGGGGTGTGGATTTTGTACGAACCGCTAAATTGCCAAAGGGTTCGTAAGAAGTTGCATGTTTTGTGAAATCTGAAGTTCCGAAAGTCTAAGAAAATTTGAGGATGCTTTAAGGTCAAATCAAACGGACTTTCGGAAAACCGAGCTAGAATTGGATCACGGGGCTGGGGAATGCGTTTCAGGACCGCTTTACACTCATTTTCCAATTTCCCCCCAAATTTTTTCCGGCAAAATTGTCAACCTCATCAGTATGAAATACACAAGTCCTAAATCCTAATATATAAAATACATAGATGCTTACATCAAACCCAGTCAAATTCTTGGCAACCGCGGTAATGTTTGTTGGCATTGTTGCCTTTACTTTACTACAAAGAATTGATTTATTAGAACAATACAACACTTAAAATGATTTTTTATAAATAATATTGCATATTAATAATATAATAAAAAATTAATCTACTTTTTATAATTTTTCTCAATTTTAAATCACATTGGTATAGGTTATCTTATTTTACTCGAGTATTTATAATTTGATTCGTTAAATTTATTTATCTCTTCAAATTAAAATCCATGAATTTTTTTTAAAACGAATTGAAACTAAAATGTTTTATAATATTTTAGTGAAAGATTAAATTACTTTATAATTAATTACATCATTTTTGTAAAGCAAAATTTATATAATTAGATTTTATTTTCGAAATTGTTTTTATACATATATTAATAAAATGAAAATATTGTATTAAATCACATTCTTTAACCAAAAGGATTATACAAATACAATTTATTTTATTTTTATATGGAAGCTATTGTGAAGCTAATGTCTGCTAGCTTTTTCATATTTTTTTTAAAAAATTAATGTGAAACGGCTAGCTACGAGGTAGAGGGAAACCAAAAAAGCAAAATACAGAAACAGTTCAAGTCATGTGATATAACAGAAAAAAACTTGCAAACTTAAGGGGTCAATAGCCTCGCCTCTAAAAGTGAGGTTGATAGCATTTAGCATCTAATGAATTTGAGTAAATCCATGCTTTCCCAATTTTATGATTTTTACAGACACCTTGAAATCCTAAGGCCATGGAAGCTGCCTCTATTACTCTATCAGGAAAACTGACATCATTTAGCAGCAGCATGGTCTTCACTTCCATATCATTTAACTCTCTGTCAAGTATGGCCTCTCATGCGCCTTCAACTTGCCCAGCTTTCTAATGTAATTGTGTCATCCCCAGATATTGCCCAAGAACTTCCTACTTCTAAGCTTATGGGGTATGCCCCTGCTAAAGCCTAAGCTTTTTTGCTCATTATGATGAATGGTGATTACTGAATCTTCTTGGTCTTAATTATATTGGTCTTCGCCCCCTGAGAATCATATTAAACTCAATTGTGATGGTTTTTTTTTTGTGCCAATTTTTTTTTTAAAAAAGGTATTGTATTGTTGCTTGTGATTGTCTAGGAAGGTTTCTCTTTGGTTGGTGTGAGAGTTTTGCGGTTGACTTAGCTTTCTTGACTGAACTATCGTTTATCAAAAAGGCTTTATCTAAAGCTGACATCTTCTGGCCTGATTTGGGTAATCATTTTTCGTTTGGATTTTAGGATGGAAGAAAAGAGGGACTTAAGTGAAAGTAATTTTACTCACTCACAGTGCAATATTCACAAACACTGATATCTTCTTTCACAAATTTCCCTCTTCACTCTTCCTCTTTCTTCCTCCTTACTTTTTCTAACATTCACTCCCCTTTCTCTCTCCCACTCACGTCACACATACGGGTGGAACCATCTTTAAAAATCAGGGGGGACAAGTTTTCAAAAAATAAATGTATATTTAATTTTTAAAATTAATTTTATTAGTTAAAATATAGTATTATATTAATTATTATAAGTATAATTACATAAATATTTCAAGAAAATTATAAAAAAACACAAGATACCATATATCTAAATAACTAAATATAATATATATTTTTTATTAAAATATATTCCCTTCAATCCTATTTATAAGTTACTCCAAGCATTTTTACCGAAATCAAGAAAAATTTTACACCTCATTAACTTTGTCTAAAAATTCAACATATTTTTTACTTTATCTTTATTAAATATACATACTTTAAAAATAAAATAATCTAGTATTTAATATCATTCCCAACATTTAATATGAGCAATGATAAAAATAGAAACAATATTCATTAAGGTATCTTATAAATAGTACCAAAACAAGCATTCTTTCTACCTTATATATAAGACCAAAGAAATACAAATAGAAAAATGTATGCATATTTTATTATATGCATATAATGCCTTAATTAAAAAAAGATAAATGATGAATTTTTCTTTTCTTTGGAGTGGGGCTGCAGTAGACACACCCTCCTCTTATAATGTTTGAGGGGCTGGGGTGGAGGGCTCTAAGTAGAGTCAGAAATAAAGGTTGACTCTGGAGAGCCGCTCATTTAAATTTATTTTTATAAGGGTTTGAATTTGTAAAAAATGATATTTTTTTAAAAAAATTGGGCTTTCAAGTTTAGCCTTGATAGGCCCTAAAAAATGGATTTGGGTTGCTCTTTTAGGCCTGTTTTTATTTTTTAAAAAATAAAATATTTTTAATTTTTAAATTAAATTTAAACTTTAGAATATATGTTTATACTTTAAAACTAAAATTTTTATTATTTATTTTTAATTTTTAAACATTATAATTTTTATGTTTAAAAAATATATAAAATATTATAATTAAAAATTTTAATTTTAAAAAAATAAAAAAATAATAATAAAGGCTTACGGGCTGACCTTGAGCCTTTTATATAAGAGCCATGCTTTAAAAAATGAGACATTTTAAGGAAATCAAGTTTAAGGACCTGAGCTCTTAAGAGCTGAGTCCGCTGGCCCGTCCATTTCTCAACTCTATTCCTAAAGATCAACGCAAGTCCATCCCTGGTCACACACGCGTGCTCTCTCAACTGCACTCTACATGACACACTCTTCATATCTAACGAGCTATAACATCCTAAGCTTCTATTTCTATTACTTAAATGTTGGTTTTAATTCTTCTGCAACATTCCAAATTTTTTCCCCTACCACTTTTGTGTTGCTTTCAGCCAACCAGAGACACAACTTCCAACTTGTTTTTCTATTATTTTAGAATCATCCTTAATTAGTCTGTGCGTTTTCTAACACTATCGAAGTAGACTGCATTGAAGTCTGGAAGTTAAATATCAATCATTGCTTTCAAATATTTGGGACATGTTAGAGTCACCTCAAGTGCTGCCTCGTTTTCTTTCATCCATATATCGTGATGGGAATTTAGGTACTAATAATTGTCTAGTAGGTTTGGCTTCGAAGGAGTTGGAACCATTTGGTTAGATTTAGTCGCCACCAACTCCCCTTGCACGTTTTCTAATCCAAGACTCCATGAGTGTTCCATTATCCAGATGCACATAACGTGAGGGCATTGGCTGAGATTTTAGATGCTGATAATGTCTTAGTTTCTTTGATGCTTTGTTTCCATTTTGCTCTTAGTTTCTTTGATGCTTTGTTTCCATTTTGCGTTTTCTTTCCGTATTACTCTTTGTAGTGAACAATGGTTTTGCTTTTCCCTTTCATGAATGAATATCTTTGCTGGCCAAATATATATATTTGTATATATTTGTATATATGTCACTTATATTTAAAGATGTGATCTTTTCCCTTCTAAAAAAATTGACATAATTAAATTTATTTGTCCACAAATTTTATTATATGAACTTAATTTTAATAAATCAAATAAAAGTATTATGTGTATTTATCTATATTTGTGGACCAAAATTCAGGGATGGATGTAAGCAAAATCTTGCAGTCATGAATCATTCGACGACAAAGGGGGTGCGGCCACAAGTTAGCGCAACACATTCAGGTCCCTTGCTCCCACCTTGTATATAGGATATTTTTGATTAAATTATGTATCCCAATAAAAATTTATTATTTAACTAAAATTTTATTAAATCACAGTAATTTTTTTAATTTTACTTCTAATAATGTCAATTATTATTATGGTGGTGGTGAGTAAAGCATATAATTAATATCTTTTTTTTTTCAAGACAATGGCATAATTTTTTAATTTTACAAAAATATCATGATGCTTTTACATTTAAAAACAAAATAAACTTTTAAAAAATGTCCTATATATGTACATATAAATGGTGAGAATATTCCAGATGTGCACAATCCTCATGCGTTGAGCATTCATACGCCAAATTAAGAATTTAAGAACTCTTTCCCTTGTCTCATCTAATTAAAGGTTAAAAATTCTTTTTCCTTCTAAACTTTTTTTTTTTTAAGTATTGGGAACCCTATATTAAAGAGTGGGATAATATCTTTCTAAAAACTTTTTGGGGAACCAAAATAGCCCTTTTATTAAAGACATGTCATATTTTCTATTACCTATTGATTACAATGGGGCATTTTGATCATCCATTTTAATCATCTGACATAAGCTAAAGTGACTGGATGTGGCTGTGCAATGGCAGTGACATGAATTAAGCCTAATTTTAGCAAAAAATGAAAGCAAATTGGGTGAAAATACTTTATTATTACTACATGTAGGCCTCACAACTATTATACGCAAGCAGATAACCAAAAAAAAAAATGACGGAACGAGAAGGTGATTTTGCTTCTAAAAAAATTATTCAAGGCTTGACAGCCAGCCAGTCCTCTCAACAAAAAGTAATGGGGTACGGAGAACACTGTCATCCACATATATCAGGGGTTAAAACTAGCCAACCATCTAGCCGATAAACACTTGCCGCTGGCACACTGGACTTCGCTTATTATCTATATAATCATTTATCTGGTTTGATTACAAACTAGTAAACCTTGGAGCTCGCTGGCGATATGGAGTCCCAAGTTTCCTTCTTGCTTCTCAGTCTCTTCCTCTTCTTGTTGCTCCTCTGGTTTACAAAGGCAAAGAACAAAGCTCATTCTAAGATTGAAATCCCAGGGCCATGGAAGCTTCCTGTACTGGGAAATCTTCATCAGTTAGCAGCAGCGAAGTCATCACTTCCACATCATGCTCTTCGAGAGCTATCCCTCAAGTACGGACCTCTCATGCACCTTCAGCTTGGTGAGATTTCTACAGTGGTTGTGTCATCCCCAGATATGGCCAAGGAGATTATGAAGACCCATGATCTTGCCTTTGTGCAGAGGCCTCAAGTTTCTACCGCTGGTCACATCCTTAGCTATGGATCATCTGACATCGCCCTTGCTCCTTATGGTGAATACTGGAGACAGATGAAAAAAATATGTACGTTACAGCTCTTGAGTTCCAAGAAGGTTCAATCATTCTCCCATGTTCGACAAGATGAGGTACTACGATATATATATTTATATACACGCACGCGCTATTTATTATATGATTTGTTTCGTATTTTGATATTTGATAATTGGTGGCCCCTCAAGTTTGTCTTGGACTTTCAGTATTCGTTTAATTTTTTTTAAATTTCATGTTTAACAATTTAATTCCTTAATTTTTTAAAAAAATTATAATCAGTTTTTTAAGTTTTAAAACACAAATAAACTTTCAAATTAATTTGATGTGTAAAATCTGTTAATGATTTGATAAGTATACGTAGCTAAATAAAAATAAATTAATCATCGAACTAGTTTAATTTTTATTACTATAGTACTCTACGTTGTGTTTTGTTCTTTTTTCATTAAATTTTTGGGTTTGTTTTTTATACCTAAATAATTACACTTCTTTTCGTTAATATACATACATATTATCAATATTTTGTTATCTATATCAATAAATTTTAACTCCATGCATTATGTTAATCTTTTTAAATAATAAAGACCTGATCAATAATTGAGATAAATTTAAGAGATTAAATTTATAAAAATAAATAAATTTGAGGAATCAAATTAATAATTGAGAAAAACTTGAAAGAATATAAATCTAATTATCCCTTGATGATAATAACCAAACGAATGTCTTAAAAGCATAACAATGTTATCAATTAAATGAAAATTCTAGTAGAATTAGAACTATATTATTTATACCTAATGAACTAATTTCGAGAATATCAAATTGTGATCAGGTATCTCAACTTATAGAGTCAGTTCAATCATCGGCAGGTTCAGTTGTGGATCTATCGAGCAAGATTTACTCTTTGACTAGTTCAGTAGTTACAAGGGTAGCATTTGGCTCCAAACGCAAAGATGAAGAGCTTTTGCACTGGCTGGATGAAGCATTAACACAACTGAGCGGATTTAACTTGGTTGATTTGTTTCCTTCAATGAAACTTGTTCTTCTCCATGTTACCAGAATGAAAGCAAAGTTGATGAAGATTCACAAGAATTTAGACAAGATTTTTGAAGATATTCTCCAGAAGAATCGAACGAATTTGCAGTCAACACCAGAAGGAGGCCGTGAAAGTGGCTCTAGAGAAGACAATCTTCTTCAGGTTCTTTTACGAATCCAGCAAAGTGGAATCCAGGACATCCCAATTACAAATGACAATATCAAAGCTATTATTTGGGTTAGTACTTCTTACCTATGTCTTTGGTCCATCTCAAAATTTATTTATTTATTTAGTTATTTGAATTAACAAAAGTCACGGTTAAAATTGTGCAATTATAAACAAATCAGAAAATATTCTTAAAAAGTCCTCTAGAAGATTTTTTGATGGAATTAAAATATGAAAAAGATTTTTTGCTTGAGTCACGAGACTCAGGAGAATTCTGACTCAATGAAACCAAACATGCATCCAAGTGTACTCTTTTTTCAATTTTGATTTCTTCCTCAAAATTACAGAGTTCAAAACATTTTCTGCTTGATATGCCAATCAATTGGAATAATGATTTGCTTCCCTAAAAATGCAATTAACAGAGATTTGCCAATCGTACGAAAAAAGATTCCTCATTTTTATTAAAAAAATTGATTAGAGGATGACTTGGTGCGTTTTCATCATAGAGTTCATTCGATTTTAAAAGAAACCACGTCTATGTGCGCGCGTGTGATGAAGAACGAGAATGTAAGAAAACCACAAACAAACCAAATGTAGTCATGATAATCTATGGGTAATGCTAATAAAAAACGAGTCTTTGGAGCTCGTTGTGTAGGATATGTTTTCCGGGGGAACCGATACGTCAGCAACAACGTTAGAGTGGGCCATGTCAGAATTGATGAGGAATCCAAGGGTGATGGAGAAGGCACAAGCTGAGATAAGAGAAGCATTTAAAGGAAAGAAAGTAATTCATGAAAGTGACTTGGAAAAACTCAGTTACTTAAAATCAGTGATCAAAGAAGCTTTGAGGCTGTACCCTGCAGTTCCCTTGATGGTGCCGAGAGAATGCAGAGAAACTTGCAAGATCAATGGCTATGAAATACCCATCAGAACTCAAGTGATAGTAAATGCGTCGGCGTTGGGAAGAGATCCAAATCACTGGTACGAAGCAGAGAAGTTTATACCAGAAAGGTTTCAGGGAAGTTCTGATATTGATTTCAGAGGAACGAACTTTGAGTACCTACCTTTTGGAGCTGGAAGGAGAATGTGCCCAGGCATTACGTTTGGTTTGGCAGTGGTTGAGCTTTGTCTAGCAAGCTTACTGTACCACTTTGATTGGAAACTCCCAGACGGAATGAAACCAGAGGATTTAGACATGACTGAAGCCCTTGGCATTACAGCTAGGAGGAAGAACAAGCTCTGTTTGATTCCCACACCGTACAATGAATATTGACAGTTCCTCTTCAAGGCAGTTCCTAAATGAAGCACAATATTGATCATTAATGTTATATGATGTGAGAATCAAACACATATAGCTTTGCTCTTCCTTAATGTGTGTGTGTGGGGGGGGACCTATTTATATAATCTTTACTCTAGCCAGTTATCTTCGCACTGTACTTTTGTACCTGAATTATTTAATAAGATCTTATTTTCAGCACGGACAAAACTTGGTCATATACATGTGGGAATTTAAGAAAATAAGAGGAAAATAATAGAATAAACTAGATTTTATCCTCTGTAAAATTTTGAAAAAATAAAATTTAAATAAATATTAATTTTATAAGAAAATAAAATTAACATGTAAAATAGAATTATATAAACAATTACAATTTATTTATATTAAAAAAATGTAAACAGCTCATTGTTATGATACCAGGGGGGAAAAAATAAGTTTTAGCACTCTTCCCCTTGTTTCTTCACCCCCTCGAACTAAATAAACTACAAATACTAAAAGAAATTAAATATTTAAAAATTAATTTAATAATTTTATATATGGATTGATGTTTTTAGTAATAACTAATTTACAAAAAATAATTGTGCATAAAAGGAGTGAAATGAAGTTCTATAAGCAAGCACAAATACAAAGGAATAACATTTGAGATAAAAAAAGTAGCTACGATATTAACAATAAAAAGTTAAAAGCTTTCCTAAAGCAAAATATAGTGACATCCTCTCTATTTTATTTTAATTATGGATACATCTCCTCTATCTTTAAAATTAATATAAATTTTTTTAGAATCAATAGTAACAAAATACAAAGCACATATTTAATTTTTAATAAAATATTATACTCATATGAATATAAAATCTAAAATATCCTTTTTTAAGAACTGTGAATATTAAAAATATTAATAACACCTTACTTTATTCTAGAATATTTCACCCCAATTTCCTCTTTTAAAAGAGATCTTAAGTTCAAACCTAACGTTAATATAGTTGTGTGCAAAAGTACATTTGTCTTCCTTTCCTACAAAGAAATGCTAGGTTAAAGGTAAATTTTCTTTTTTTAAAAAAGAATACTTCACCCCAGAAAATTTTAATAGTATATTTTATTTCAAAATTTATTTTATTTTTAAATTTTTTACTTATTAAAACTTAAATAGTATATTTTATTTCAAAATTTATTACCTTTTTATTTGTTGTATAAGTTATTTAAAAATTGAGGGCTAATTTTAAAAATGCATAAATAATAAATATGTTGAAATGATATCATAAATCTTGATAACAAATCATTATATAATAGTGGAAATATCATTATTCAATACACCCTATTTGAAATATAATGTATTTGAAGAAGGGGCAGTTAAATAAAAAAAAAATGATCTAAAAATGAAATGACTTTCTAAACTTACTCATATTTAAAAATAATTTTTTAAAAAAACTTAGAAAGTTGTAGATAAGAGTGATTTTAAAATAAGCTAATTAAATAATACATAGAATAATAATTTTAATAAAATAATATTAATTATATTTTTTATTTGTATAAGATAAAAAATTTAAATTTAATTTATGTAGGGATACTCATTTTGAAATAATACACTAAAATAAATAAATTTTTTTAAATTTTATACTTTTGTTTAAAATTTATTTTTTAAATATTAAAGTATCCATGGGATGCATGAAAAGTAAAGAGCCTGAATTATATGAATGATAAGCAAATCCTTCAAAATATCATAATTTTAATGAAGTATTTAAATATTTCTTTGTCAATGAATTTTAATTTGAAAAGATCATTTTTTTCTTATTGATAGGTTGTGATTTTTTGTTTAATTCTTACTATTCTTTAAATAATATTCTTTGAATAAAGTTATTATTTTTTAAATAAAAATTATGATTTGAGTTTCTTATTTTGATAACTTATTTTTTAATAATAAAAATTAGACTTGATAAGTTGTGAATTTTTATTCAATTTTACAATTTATAAAAAAAAGTTGTTATTCATTAAGCAGAAGTTGTAATTATGACTTATTTTTAAAAACAAAAATTCTACTTGACAAATTATAATTTCTTATTCAACTCTTATAATTTATGAAATAAAAATTATTATTTCTTAAATAAAAATTATAGTTGAAGTTTTTTATTTTCAATAAAGATAAAATAATATTTTTATATTAAAATTTATTGGATCCGCTCCCCAACTCTCAAAATACATGACCTTTCACTCTTTGGGTAGTGCTTTGAGAAATAGATAGGATCGGAGGGTCCAATTAATTGGATTAGTGTAACATTTAAACCAAATTAACTTGGTAAGTTTTGAGATAGTTGAATTTGACTTGAAAATCAAAGTGAGTTAACTAGGTTCAAAGTAGAAAAAAAAAACAAAAGCATTTAAGCTAAATCACTTAGATTCGTGTCTTCTCTTTTCTAATCTTTAGTTCTGTTCTATTTTCTCTTATCTCATCTTCAATTTTTCCTTTAAGGCTTAGACTCAATTTTTAACCCTTCTTTCAATTCTAACGATTCAACCTTTGATATCGAGATTGAAAGCTCGTGAGTCATGACATGATGGTGTGCCTCCAACTCTAGCATTTTGCTTTAAGATTGCAAGCTTGTGCTGACATACCTTTGCTTTCTACTCCAGTGGTCCAAACATTTAGCCTTTAATTTTGAGATTTCATCAACAAATTAATATTTTATTTATATATTTATTTATATAAATATTATTTTTATTTAATTTTTATGTTATTAGTTTAATAAGAGTTTGAAGTAGAGTAAAGTCAACAAGAGTGATGAAAGTAATAAGAGCAAAGTGTATCTTCTCGATTCACTTTGCAATAATTTTTTTTTTTCCATTTAAGTTCTTCCTTCTTTGTCTAAGCCTATCCTAATTATTTGAAAGTTTTGCCACTCAAGATACAGCAGGTTTCAAATTTGCATTTAGTCTTTCAGCATTATCAAAAAAAAAATTAATCATTTAATCCTTGCAATTTCAACTTGATTGCAACACATCCCTTCAATTTTGAGTACCTATAAATCAATCTTTTAACTTTAAAGACATGTGTACATCGGTCCTTGCCATTAGTGAAGCAAGGAGGAGCCTGTCAACGTGTCACAAACAGTGTCAACAAAGTTAAATGTAGCCTCCATGGCATCCTCGTCACCACCATTGAGGATTACGTGTTAGAATGATTGGTGAAAAAAAAAATAGAATTAGAAGTCACCTCGAAGAAGAAAGAGGAAAAGGAAGAGAATCGGGTTGTTCACTCACTTGCTCTCACCTCTCGATCTTACTTCTCAGGCATTGCTCGCCATCTCTAACTCGTTGGTTATGGTGGTCGCCATGTCATCTACTTTTCTTTTCACACTATTATTTAACTAAACTTTTGGCCACTAGTGAGAGCTTTTATCTGTCCCCCAATGCCGCTTCCATATCATTTTTCATGTTTATTTTCTTATTCAGATTAGCTTGTTCTCACCATGCTCTGTAAACAGAGTTTTCTTTGATGCGCTAGAGCCTAACTATTACTTGGAGCACCTACATTATACAGCCTTACACGTGATCTTGATGACATCCACGTATTATCTTAAGGTTTTTTATTGATGCAATGTTATCGTCTTTCTCTTTAACTTGGTATTCGCAGACAATCTGATGATAATGAATTTTTATAAGGAGTGACTTATAAGAGGCAATGTTAATGCAAGGAACAAACGGCCTATATCGAATTAGGTCTTTAAATGCTTCCCAGACTATTGACACACAAGGATAAAATAATATTTTTATATTAAAATTTATTGGATCTGCTCCCCAACTCTCAGAATACATAACCTCTCACTCTCTGGCCAGTGTTTTGAGAATTAGATAGGATCGGAGGGTCCAATTAATCGGATCGGTGTAACATTTGAACCGAATTGACCTGCTAAGTTTTGAGAGAATTGAATTTGACCTAAAAACCAGAATGAGTCAACTAGGTTCAAAGCAAAAAAAAAAAAAAAAAAAAGCATTTAAGCTAAATCACTTAGATTCGTGTTTTCTCTTTTCTAATCTTTAGTTCTGTTCTATTTTTTTTCAGCTCAGGCTCAATTTCTAACCCTTCCTCCAACTCTAACAATTTAACCTTTGATGTCGAGATTAAAAACTCGTAAGTTATGATATGATGGTTTGCCTCTAATTCTAACGTTTTGCTTTGAGATTGTGAACTTGTGCCTTTGCTTCCTGCTTTAGTGGTCCAAACATTTAGCCTTTAGTTTTGAGATTTCATCAACAAATTAATATTTTATTTATATAAATATTATTTTTATTTAATTTTTATGTTTTTGATTTGATTGTGGGCCTAATCAATTGCAACGTAAAAACTGTGACTCACTTTTCTTTTCAGTTTCAAAATGCTGTCACTTACTGTCTCAGAATCCACACCCTTCAATCTTACCAACGCCACACACGTCTCTCTCCCAATCCATCTTCATCACCGTCTCACCCTCTCTCAATCCTTCCCTTTGTCCCTTTCTGCGCCTCGTAATCCTTCAAGATCTCCCACTACCCTCTTTGCTTAAAGCTCCATTGTCGTCATTGATCACTGCTCCTTCTCTTCTCTTTTACTTCGACTGTCGTTTCTTTGCATCCTTTCAATGTGTCATCCTCAATCTCTGCCCCCTCTCTTCTTCTTGCACTCTGTATGTCCCCATTTCTCTGAGGCTGAATCTTGGTTGCATCACCTCGCCATGGCTCCAGATCTACTCTTTGAACCTCTGGACTCACCTTTTCTGATTTCGTCTGGCCGACATTTTAATTTTCTTTTCATCATTTTTTTCCCTTTGATCTTTATCAATTTATTGATGTTTTGTGCACTTATGAAAGCATTTTGTGGTTTTTATTTTTGACTTTTTGTTGAGATATGGTTTATATATATATATATATTGATGTTGCTTTTATTTTTTATTGTTTAATTTTAATTTCTTGTTTTGGTGCTGAATTGATATTGATTTTGGTAGCTCTATTGAATAATTGTTTATGGATTTGTTTAAAAAAAAAATCTGATTGAAATTTGATCTTGGTAGTTGTTTTTTAAAATCTGATCTGATTGACTGATTCCTTCCTTATTCTTTTGATTATGATTTTTTTAATTAATTTGTCCTCTTTTAGATTTTGGTGGATGGGCGAATTTTATTTTGGTTATGATTTTATATTTAAAATTATTGTAAGAATAATAATGGAAATATAATGTTCAG